CTTGTGTTCCCTCTCTCGCTGCGTCTCTCTCTGTCAAATAAATAAATAAAATCTTTAAAAAAAAATAAATATGTGGTTTACATTATTTTTTTTTTCGCATTATATTTTTATTGGAAAGCACTGGCCCGGGTGAAAGGTTTTGGTTTTTATTCTAGAACAACACCAAGCCGTTAGACCGTTCTCAGCCCAAGGCTGTCATAATCAGACTTGCATTTCGGAAAAAAAAAAACAAAACAAAACCTCACTATCCTCAAAAAAAAAAATCCTATAGGGTGTTGACATTCCCATTTTCAGACAAGAAAATTGAGGCTGAAAGGTGAAGTAACTTGCTTGAGCTTGCTCCATGAGTAAATGGCAGGACCGGGATGTGACCAGAGCCAGCTACATCAGTGGAGCCCGGAGCAAAAGGAAGGTGTGCAAAACAGCTTTCCCAAAGCTGCACCCCTAACCCAGGGCAGAAGGGCGACCCCCCAGGTATCACAACCTCCCAGCTGCACCCATCTGTACCTGGATTGGGGGCGGGGGAGAGCTTCCTGCCTCTTCCCTGCCTACCACCCTCGGAACATGCCCTGCCTTAACTCCAACTCTTGCTTGAGTCCCTGCCAGGGGCAGAAGGGGACAGGGGAACTCTGGTGGGGAAGGGGCGGTGGGCTGGGAGTGGGGCCTCGCGCACACAGGGTCAAGGCTCCCAGCTCCCAACCCCCCAGCACACGCTCCATTGGCCCGGCTGACTTCACTTACAAAATAGACTTCAAGATAAAATTATTTAAAATGGGGGGCCTGGGTGGCTCAGTGGGTTAAGCATCTGCCTTTGGCTCAGGTCATGAGCCCAGGGTCCTGGGGATCAAGTCCCACATTGTGCTCCCTGCTCAGCAGGGAGTCAGCTTCTCCCTCTCCCCTTGCTCCTCTCCCCTGCTCGTGCCCTCTCTCTCATAAATAAAATATTTTATTATTTTTTAAATATTTTCTTTGTTTATTTGACAGAGAGAGATACAGCGAGAGAGGGAACACAAGCAGGGGGAGTGGGAGAGGGAGAAGCAGGCTTCCTGCTGAGCGGGGAGCCCCGATCCCAGGACCCTGGGACCGTGACCTGAGCCGAAGACAGACGCTTAATGACTGAGCCACCCAGGTGCCCCATAAATAAAATCTTTAAAAAAAAAAATATTTAAAATGTGAAGCCAGCGACCACAGAGCATTTAATCCCAAGTGTGGGACCCTTTCTGAATGATGGGCTCTGCACAGCTGCTGTGATCACAGGCCCAAGAAGCCAGCCTTGTTTCTGGCTCAGAAAGTACTCTCGCCACACTGCCCAGTCCCTCCCCAGCCCCTCCCAAGGCAGCGGGACTTGCAGTCCCGTCTTTGCCCTGCGCTCTGGGCCACGGAGCGAGCCCCTGTCCCCGGAAGCCCCTCAGAGCCTCCGGTACCCAACCTGAAATGATGCCTTCCGCACCCCTCCACCACTCACCGCAGGCAGACAGAGCACAGGACCCTCCCGCAGCTTGGCCTGCTGCCCGCCACGGATAATAGCACTTTCCTCTGCTGAACCTGTCGGATTAAGATCCCCTGTGTGCAGACCGGGTCTCGTTAGAGGTCAGAAAGCATGCCCTTTGAAGTCAGGCAGATTTGGGTTTGAGGTTTTCCTCTACCGCTGTAGCAGTGACTCCTCAGACAAGTTACTTAACCTCTCTGTGCTTCAGTTTTCTGATCTGGGAAATGGGATTAATAACCTCTACCTCGCAAGTTTGTAAGAAGCAAAGAAGTGAGCGCCCGGAATCGTGGGCTGCTCCTGTTGATCACAGCTGCGGATACTTGCTCCCCTACGGGACACTCGGTGCTCGCTCTGTTCCTGACCACCGATGGCCGAGCTGGGGAGGGCCCCTGGCCCTACTGGCGGCAGCATCCCCCCCACCCCACACCTTCCTCAGGCCCCACCCAAATCCTTGAAGACCACATGGGAAACAGGTCTTCCAGACTCACCTGCTGGCTTCTCCCTCATGTCCTGTTGGGGTTCGGCCATGGGTCAGCTCTGTTGTTCGTCAGATCGGTACCCCTCTTGCATGGATGCACAAGCTCCCAACTACATAGGAAACACCTCCAAAAGCTCAGTGCATCTGGGTGCCGTGGAACAGCAATGCGGTTGGACCGTCACTGGCCCGGTGAGATGAGGCCGGGGGGTGCCTACTGTACAGATGGGCAGAGTAAGACTCCCGGGGGCGCCGCAGGGTGTGCAGCAGATGATGCAAGGGAAGTTCGCCCAAGGCTCCTTCCTCCCTTCTCAGGCTGTGTCCAGCAGGTGACACGGGCCGCTAATAGGGCTTACCCAAGGGAACGCGCCCCCAGGAGGCTCAGCCACTGGCACCCAGCTAGACCTTTCCTTGGAAAAGGTTAGCAGCTCCTACATCAGGGAGAGGAAAAGCCAAATACTTAGGTTCTTGGATCGAACAGGCTCTCTGTCCTCCCCAGTTCTATCTCCTTTTTCTCCCAACCCCTTTCTTCAGCAGCTGCGAGTGCCAAGGAGGCAGGAAGACCCCAGCCCATACCTGGGAGACTCTGCCTTGGCCATGATCCCAGATCCCTTGATTTCAAACCTAAGGATGGAGATGGCGGGCGGGGGCTGGAACAGGAGGTTTGGTGAAGAGTGCGCAGGGGTTGCTGAGGACAGGAGCCCACAGATCCGGGGGTGGCTCTCACATTTCATTTAACCCTCCAGTGACAGAACACAGGACAGACAGGACATCAGAAAGCTGGAGGGGGCCAAGGAGGTCACAGCTCACAGGTTCTCAAACTTAACTGTGCATTGGAATCACCTGGAAAGCCCTAAAAACCGTGGGTGATTGGGTCCCACATACTTGGTTTGGGGCGCCATCTGGGCCCTGGAATCTTTGAAAGGTCCCCAGCTGATCTGAATGTGTGACCCAAGTTGAGAACCACTGATTTGATCAAACTGCATCAGGGGCAGAGCGGGGAACAGAGCGGAGACCCAAGGAAGGCAAATGCTCACTGATGGGCACCTGAGCGGCTGGCCGCAGGCCTGGGGCCGGCTCCGGGCCCCCTGGTCGCCAGCCTGACGCTGCCTCCCTGGTGTGCGGCGGTGCCCTTCCTGCCAGGAGTGGAGGAAGGTAGGCCTCCAGCGGAGGAGGAAGCAGTCGGACCTGCCTGGCCTCAGCTCCTGAGAAGGAAATGCCCTTTGGCCAGTGGGGCCCCCAGGGTGTGGTCAGACATAAAAAGAGCCAGCCTGGCACCTCCTCACCTGAATGCGTGGGGCCTAGAGATGCAGCGGGCCGAGATGAAAAGGCCTGGACAGAGGGCTCTGGCCGTTTCCACTCACTCACTGCTCTGCCCATTCATTCACTCACTCCCCATTCATGGGTTCATTCATTCGTGGAGTCCCTCAACGATATTCAAGTTTTCTTCTCATTTGGAGGTCTCTTTCCCTCTTTTTTTTTTCTTTTAATTAATTTATTTTTAAAGATTTTAATTTTTTAAGTTATCTCTGCATCCAATGTGGGGCTCAAATCTACAACCTCGAAACTGAGAGTCCCATGATCTACTGACTGAGCCAGCCAGCGCCACCCTCTTATTTTTTAACTTTTTTCAAGCAAAGTACTACATGCTCTCGTTTATTTTATTTTAAAGATTTTATTTATTTGTCAAATAGAGAGAGAGAGACAGAGAGAACACAAGCAGCGGGAGGGGCAGAGGGAGAAGCAGACTCCCCGCCGAGCAAGGAGCCCGATGCGGGGCTCAATCCCAGGACCCTGGGATCATGACCTGAGCTGAAGGCAGACGCTTAACGACTTGAGCCACCCAGGTGCCCCTACATGCTCCAGTTTAAACTGTCTAATGGTGCTCAAAATCAGGGCCTGTTAGCTAGGAAGAAGGCAACATGCTTGTTGGGGAGGCAGCCACACAGGCCTTGGTGGGGATCTTTTTCATTCATTAGGCTGGGCACCTAGTGGGCCCTTTTATTTATGTATTAGCTTTTTTGTGTGGAAGGGTAGCTTTTTAGTTTTACACGCTTTCAAACTGACATAAAAGTTGCGAGAAAGAATTTATATGCTTTACCAATGGTTCACATTTTGCCACATTTGCTTTAATATTCTAAATAGTACAGACATATATATGTGCACATATAATATACACACACACATTTTTCCCCTCAACCATTTGAGAGTAAGTTGTAGACATCATGTTCCTTTATCCCTAAGGACTTCAGGCTGTATTTTCTAGTATCAAGAATATTCTCTTCCATATCAAGATACAAGCATTTCTGGGTGGGGTGCCTGGGTGGCTCAGTCGGTTAAGCATCTGACTCTTGGTTTCGGCGCAGGTCGTGATCTCAGGGTCGTGAGATCAAGCCCCATGTTGGGCTCTGCGCTTAGTGGGGAGTTTGCTTGAGAATCTCCCTCTCCCTCTGCCCCTACTCCCTACTCTCTCTCTCTCTTTAAAATAAAATAAATAAAATCTTAAAAAAAAAATGGACATGGTTCTAAGTTAGAATTATGCAGAAGTTTATATTCATAGAAGTGTCATCCAACATTTCTTTTTTTTAAAAGATTTTATTTATTTATTTATTTATTTATTTATT